GATAGGAAACAGTTATGCCAGAATCTGAATATTAGGCCCCAATTCTAAAACAGGACTTTTTAACCTTCTCATGCCGGGCATTCCAGGCTGACAAATTTGGTTTTAGGAGGGACCTGTGCCTCATAGGATGTTCACAGCAGCATCTCTGACCTCTACCTACTAGATGTCAACAGCATACTGTACTTGTGGCAACCAGACATGTGTTCATGCACTGTCAACTATCCCACAGGGAAGCAAGAATCAGTTGAAAGTCACCATATACTTCGTTCTGCTTAGGACACAGGAACAATCAAGCTGGAAAAGAAGCCCTAAAGGTGAGCCAAAAAAGAATAAGGAATTGGCCAAAATAAACCAATCCAGTACAACCTAAAGACATCCCAGACTGCAAGACCGAAGCATAATAACATCTTCGAGAGAGGAATCACCCTCCCAATGTGCCCTGTACCTTGTAGTCTACATCAGACGAATCAGGTGGGACTTTTAGGAGGGGTTACCAATGAAAATTTATGCACAGATACAATAACCTGAATGGCCAAGGGTCAGGGTGACAAGTCACAGGAGGAGTTGCTGAAGCGATACGGGACGCTCACGCGGTTCATGACAGATACGGTTCTGCACAGAATGTCTTAGCCATTTCCTGGGTGGAGTCAGACTCCATTAACTGACTAATGGAGCCTTTCAAATGTTAGCAAGGCACAGTCTGTGCTCTGCTGACTGCACTCAAGGAGGTAAGATGCACTAGACAGCCCTGACCTGAGGTCAGACTTAGACGTCCACAGGTAACTTAAATGAGGACAAGAGACTAATGCAATAGAATAGGAATTGGGGCAAACTGAACTAGCCACAAAGGGGCATCACTATTCCATTCCAGTAGACTGCTTTGTTGTAGGAATGAGAGCTGAATGCCACTACATCTTTTAACTGTTTTCAAGGAAAAGGGTGACTACATTTGCCTGTAACAGTCAGTAATTTTTGAAGGACAGCAAGAGATTGAACCTTTCAAAACACCGTATGAGTCAAGCAAAAATAGCTCTACAGCCCTCGAGGCTGAGATGATGACTCGGTTGTAACTTTCTTGCAGCACAAGCATGAGTCTAGGTGGAAGAGACAAAGCAGGGACCCTGAAGGATCGGTTCCTGGGGATGCTGTTAACAGCCACTCTGGTCTTGGGGGGAAAACCAGAGCAGTAGCTTTGGGCAGGTAGTGATTCTATGTCCTTGGAGATCTGGGAATATCTTGGATGTAATGCTTTAGCGCATGGACCCTAAACATTGACCAATGCCTGCTGATAAAGATAATTGCAGGAAAGCAGATCTCTGTGCTTACCTAGAAGAGAAGAACAAGGCCTGGCAGTGGGAAACTGTTCTGAACTAGGGAATTACTTCCCAAGTATGTAACAGAAAAGTTCAGCTACAGCGAAAAATCTCCAGCAAAGGACAGCGACTTTATTCACAAAGTAATAATACCAAAAAGCCTTGCCTTTTGCTTTAGCCTTTACTAGATCCTTGTTTCTGCTAAGTCCCTCGTGAAAAGATAGCTGAGTAATTACTGTATAATGTTGCGGCTTGCAGCACGTGAGGACCCAGGTTCAGATCCCCAGAACTCTTATACAGAGCAGGGTGTGCTGGCAAGCACCTGCAGTCTCAATGCTGGAAGGGAGAAGCAGGAGGGTTTGGGAGACTGCCTGGTCAGTCAGTCTAACTAAACAAGGGCATTGTGGGTTCAGCAAGAGATAGACTCAAAAAAAAGTGTGGTATAACATTGGAAGACATGCAACACTGCTTCTGGTGTCCACATGTGCTTGCGCAGGTGAGCACACGTGAACATACACACATATGCCACACACAAATTAAGAGAAAGAGAGAGAGAGAGAGAGAGAGAGAGAGATAACCAGCAGAAGATGTATGACCAAAGAAGAGACTATATGTAACCTCTCCCTTAAAGATGCTCCACGAACCCTCACTTGATCCTCAGGAAATACCGTGGACATGTCCCAGAATCACTGTCACATCGTGTCATCAATTTGAATCAGCAGACTGCTTCAGAATCAAATGCAGACATCAACTCACTGACTAATTAACAGCATCTGGCGAGAGAATGTAGCCCACAGGCTATCATGAGAGCTAAAATTTCCACAGCATACAATGAAAATAAGGAAGGGGCCCCCTCTTCTTCTAAACTAGGACATTTCATTCTTGTAAGCTGAACCTCAAAGTAAGCGAGGAAGCAGAAGTGGGGTTGCCTCACGCAGTGTGCTGTCCTGTCACGGGAGGGTCATCCCTTCTCTAGATGGTAAACAACTTCAAAACCCTTATCACTACCTTAGTCAGCAAATAGCCAGGGAAGCTGCAGAGCCTCCTCTGAGAGAGAATGCTTCACTAAGGGAAAGCTATTCAGGGCTCAGCAAGGCCCCCTGGTGAATTCTGCTGCCCCATCTGGATTTCCATTCAGCAGACTGGGCGCCCTTGGACACTGGCACAGTCCTAGCCAGGACAAAGACCCATTTGTTCTGTGGAAAGGTTTTAGACTTTTTTTTCCCAATTCCCCGTTTTAAATGTTACAGCTTTGTATTTTACTTGAGCACATCCAGCTTTTAAGACTAAATTAGCTGTTAGTTTAGCCTTCGCATTACTATACTCTATCGTGGTTCGTCTAATGGTTTCTGATGTTCCAGAGAGAACAAATGTTGTATTGTATTATGCTGTGCTGCAGTGTGTGTGTGAATTAAAATTACGCATTATTAGCAAATAGTATTAGTAGTAAGATCTTACATGCTCTTAGGAGCACATTCGTAATATTTTTTAAAAGCACACTATTAGCTTGTTTTTTAACACGCCCAGGGGTAGCAATGACAGATCCCTTTTGTAGGTGGGAAATTTGAACCACAAACGTTACGTAACTTTTCACTGTACCTTCAAAAACTACCCCGTGCCCACCTGTCACCTTCACCCTTGACTAGACTCCCAGCAGCAAACCTAAAGCAGCATCCTCTCCTGCTTTTTCCATATAAACCATCCTCCACACCGCACCCGGACCAGTCTCACAAAACGGAAGTCTCTGAATTCACACCTCTGCTTAGAATACATCCAACTTCCTGCTGTCCTATTTGGAGAGAGATCTAAATTGTTGGATTTGATCTATGAGACTCCAGGTGACCTGGCACCCTGCCCCACTTTCTACTTCCTCCTTGCATCCCGTTCTCCTCTCCCCTGCCTGCTTCAGCCACTCTGGCCTTCCAACTGTGCCTTTTATAGATTGCACTGGATTCCCCACACACCTGTACACTAGGCCCCTCTGCCAAAAGTTCTTCTGTCACAGGGGTCCCAGAGCTGAAGGGATGGCTCGGTGGTTAAGAGTCCTCACTTTTCGTGGAGGGGACAATGGTTCAATCCCAGAACCCACACAGTAGCTCACAACCATCACTAAACCTGGTTCCAGGGAATTTGATTCCGTCCTCTTGCCTCCAAGAGTACCAGGCACATCCATGATGCACATACATGCACACAGGCAAATATTAATAAATAAAAAATAAAAATAAATAAATCTAAAAAGAAGGGGGTGAATCCAAGAAGGTCCCTGCTATTTGCCTGACACATGTCTACACATTCAAACCCATACCAATAGCTCTTGGCATTTCATCCAAACTTTCAGTACTCTCTGAACTCACTCTGATCATTCCTTGATTCTTGCTCATATCTTGACTTCCGGATTCTTTGACACTAGAAAGTATTTCTAACTTACACCTGGTTCACAGTAGTATCTATCTATCTATCTATCTATCTATCTATCTATCTATCTATCTATCTATCTATCTATCTATCTATTCATCTATCTGTCTATCCATCTATCTATCAGTCTATCTGGCTGGCTGGCTGGCTGTACCACCTACTTGTTGTCTGTTCCAGAGTTTAGAACTGAACCAGGCTTTTGCACATTCTAGGCAAGTTCTCTACCACTAAGCTACACGCCCGCCTGTGGTTACTGAGACAAGCTATTTCTGTCTAACGCCAGCTGGTCTTAAACCCACAACACAGCCCAAGTTGGCCTTGAACGTGTGAGGCTGCCCCGCTTCAGCTTCCCTAGCACGTCAGCACCCAGGCACGGATGTTTTGACATGGATGAATGAAAGAATGAAGGAGCACAGCTTCTGCTAGGAAGAAACTAGCAATTCAGTGAGTGTTCTCATAGCAATGTCCCTGCTCAGCTGCTGAGTTCACCTACAACAAAAGCCGGACAAGTCTGTGTGAGTCTGTACTGCCACTGTGTTTTATGCGGCTTTCAGAAAACCTTTCACCGCAGCAGTGATGGCGCCCACAGGTGGCTCACACTTCACAGAGAAATGCCTTTCACATGCTAGATAGGAGCCTTCTGTCATGCCAGCAGACCACAGAGCTTCCTTGGAATCCTGGAACAATGTGATGTAGAATGAAACACTCCCTCATTCAGTTTCTCTCTATTTAATACTTCCTTCCCCAGGCTTTACTTAATGGAAATGCCTCTGAGTTTGTTAGGGTCAGTCAGGCTCGTCATAGTGAATCATGAGTCATGAAAAAGAAAGGCAGGTTTAAGGCAGAGAGCACATGGGGCGAGGGTGGGGGGCTCTTGAGAGATGGCTCCTCGATTAAGAGCACTGGGCTGCTCTTCTAGAGGACCCAAGTTAATTCCCGGTATTCACATGGCAGCTCCCAATCATCTGAGACTTCAGTTCCGGGGGATCTGGTGCCTTCTTCTGCCCCTCTTAGGCACCAGGCACACATATGGTGCACAGACTTACAGGCAGCATCCAATATACAAAAATAAAATATTCCAAAAATACATGGCTGGGGATGCCGCTTAGATGGTAGAGTGTTTGCCCAGCATGACCTGGGCTTGATCCCCAGTGCCTCAAAGAGCAGGTTGGTTGCTTCAGGCCAGTGATCTCACAATACAGGGACTGAGACACCAAAGGTCAAAGGTCAAGGTCCTTAGCTATATAGCAAGTGGGAAGCCAGCCTGGACCACAGGTGACTTTTCACATTAGAATGAAAAGATAAGAGCAAGAGGGACCCCCTTGAAGAAGTCCTTTCCAGAGACCCGCATTCCAAGTACCTCATTGTCTCTTCTCTTAATGCTCTATGCTGAGGTAGTCTCAAAGTGGATGTTAATTTTTATTTACTTACAAACAAAACTAGTTGGGAGATTGACTTAGGCTCCCTAGGAGTTCCTTATGACTAGAGAGCACCACAGAGAAGAGTTCAAAAACCGGACCTTCACACCTCACTCTGAATAGCTTAAAAGAGTGGCTGAGTCTCATTAACATCCCTCCTCACCCTCAGTAGCTCAGCGTGTTGAGCCTTCTGCCTCAGTGTTACTGAGATCAGCGACAGTCAGCGGATCAAGGGTGGAATCAGCACACGGAGGGAAGGACCTGTGCACAACCATCCAGGGAAGGAAAAACACTCTCAATCCTGAGGACAGAGAACTGAAGCTGGCAAGCCAAGGATGTCAACAAGCGGTCTCCTTCATAAGGCTCCCAGGGTTCCCTGGGTGAGAAAAACCTGTCCCAGTGCTGACGGCTCTCCGGTGCGCTGTTGCCAGAAGGTCTTCTCTTTATTTTGATTCTGGTGCCCTGACCCAGCAACTCAGTTTTACTCCAAGATTTGCTTGCTAGTCTCTGGCATTATCCTTGCTTCAGGGAGCACATTTTCCTACCCCTGCTCATACACCACCTGTCTCCTAACTCTGCATTCTCATTTGGGTCAAAGATAATTTGAGCAAGTCTGATGTGGTAACACGTCCAAACCAGAATCGGTGCGCCCTTTAGAGGTGACAGCTCCCGTGTGTGTAAGAACCTGACACGCCACCCCTTCCTTACCCGGACCTGACAGGGATTCCCATGGTCCGAATGAAAGCCTCAAGAAGACCATGTTCTCTGCTTTGTGGCTTTGTAAAAATCCAGCCTAAAGGTGAAATAACCAACATTTTATCTGGCCAGCAGCAGGATGCTCCAAGCCGGGGTGATAATACTCTATTTTTATTATTCTATTCACAGACTTCTTAAATCTCGGCTATTCCTCACAAGGAAGTGTGCGTGAGCGTTCCACAGTGAGATCTACAGACAAAACACTTCCCTGCAGTTCCAGGTTCACCTGCCGCCCAGTTGGCATTGAATTCTTAGGGTGACTTTCTCGGAAGCAATCAGTCCTATCTTTCCTTAACAATTCTGGAGTCCTGTTCCTGGGGGCCTCCGAGGTCAGTTCAGCATCAAACAGGAGAGCACCGCGGTCCCAGCCTGCCCTCCCTGAACGTCCTTCCTTGACCGTTCTCCCCCTTGGGCGCTCCTGTGTCCCCGCCACAACCTGGTAACAGCGCCACAAGCCCAAGGCTCAAGACCCTCTCTGTCCCGTGGCTCCTTACCTAGGCACTGAGCTGAGTTTTTCCGGGGTACCCGGGGCCCTCCCTGAGTACACCGATGCCACCAGCGCGATTCAGATCCAATTGCCTCTCGCAGCCAACAGAGCAGGCTTCCGGACAGTCGTTCTCAGTCGGGGGGATGGGGTATCTCTAAGGTGGGTTGAGCAGGCGGCCGCTGAAGATCTACCCTTAGGCTCGACCCTCCCCTCCTGAGGTTGTTGTGGAGGAGGAACAGGGGAGGAGCGTTTGGCCTGGCCTCCCGCCAGTTCTGAGCTGCTGCGGCTGTGGCTCTCACAGTGCTCGCCCCAGGGCGGGCCACTAAGAGCCTACGCGTGGATCCTACCTGCCTGAAGCTGTGATGGACTCTTAGGTTCCTAGTTAGACACCCAAGTCTTGCCAGGTCTGTTACGCGATGAGCTGTGTGCCACCCCCAGGCGTATTTTGTTAGTTTCATCCTGTTCTCCAAATCCACAAAGAGCACGGGAATCGCTAAGCACCAGTTTAGAATCTGAAATATTCTGCACAGTCCGCATTTTGATACTTTGTACCCGGAACCCCTGTTCACTCCTTTGTAGACTCTGTTCCAGACGAAAAGGCCTGACGCTGAGTAGCCTCCTTCCTTTGCTGATATTGAGGGACATCGTATTTAAGGTTCTGTCTCATAGTTCAGTCTAACTCGGTCATTACCGCTTATGGTAAAGGCGCTTCCCTCCACATAGAACATTCCCTCCGTGAGTGAAGCAGCCGGTAAGTGGGGGAGGCTCCGGAGCCTCGGGAGGTAAACAAAAGTCACATGTCTGGGGGAACAGAAACTTGGAAGATTCTTGAGGGCCCCTCCACAGCAGTATAAAAAAAAAGGCAGCAAACAATGGCGGTGGGGGTAGGTGGCAGTTAGAGACTTTTAACCACAGAAGAGCGGAAGAGAGAGATTTGACTGGTGGAGGTGCCTGCAGCTATGCTGAGGGCGACAGTGATGCAGCTTTAATTGCTCTTCTGCCTGTCCCCAGCCCCCACCTCATTCTGTCCCTCCGCCACGCCCCCTGTTGTGTGGCCTTTTCAGTGACGGGGTTGCTCGTTCCTGCTCCTTATGAGTAACCCTTCACCCCATACTCCTGTGAGGAGCCCCAATCAGAACTCATTGGTTGACGAAGAAGGACATTGCGGAAATTGTTGTATGGATTGGTCTGGGTTCCCTTCCTGGGGTGTATAGACACATGTTGCATCTCCCTACAAACTCTGTCACACAACCTCTTTGCCCTGATATGTCATCCTTCATTTTTCAGAGTTTTCTCCTCGAACTCATTTTCCAACCATTTTTAAAAATCTTCATCTAAAACTACTTAGGAACTTAAGGGATAGTAAGTTGAAACTTTTATGTAGTATTACAATATTATATTTTTTGACCTTTTGAATAGATTGAATTTCATTTTGTCTTTATGAACTTTGAATAATTTTCTGCAGGCGTGAGAGTGGAGAGACAGTATGAAGTGGCCACGAAGATGCAAACACAGGAGGTAACTGAGAACTGCTTCTAAGATATTTATGGAGGCCGGCAGATACCAGTTCAGTGGTAGCATACAAGGCTAGTATGCATGAGGCCCTCAGGACCAAAAAATAACATCTGTGGAGTTTAAACAACTCAAACCCAAAGAAGCAAACAATTATAAGATATGGCTGTAGCATGAATAGGAGAAAACAAGGAGGGTAAGAACCTGGGAGTGATGTGGGAATCTGCCCAGATTTGTGGGAGGCGTTGTAAATTCACATAGTCAATGATAGTTAAACTGGCTTAATAGCAGTGGAGTCCAGCCATGTGGTGATACACCTTTCCTGGTGACATCATCTCCAGGGGTGGAGCCCAGTCATGTGGTGATAAACCTTTCTTGGTGACATCATCTCCAGGGCTGGAGCCCAGCCATGTGGTGATAAACCTTTCTTGGTGACATCATCTCCAGGGCTGGAGCCCAGCCATGGGTGATACACCTTTCCTGGGAACAGAGAGGAAGTATAAGGACCCCCAAGACCAAGCTCTCGGCACAAAGGAGATTTATTTGCCCCAGAGGGGCAGAGGGCAGGGAATAAAAGACAAAGACAGGAGACAGAGGGCGGGGGAGAAGGGAATGGGGGGGAGGGGCAGGGATATTTGTCCTGAAGTGGGACAAAGGGCTGCCTCTGAATAGAGAGAGGAGACAGACGTGGCCCATAGACAAATGGCTGTTTATAAAGGGAAGTTGGGAAACCTCCTGATAGGATGAGATGTTTAATAGAGAATTTAATTAGGGCAGCTAACAGGGGCTTTTGATTGCTATTGGCCTCAGGAGGAAGAAATGGTCTTATAAGGGAATAGATTTGGCATAGATTTAGCATAAGTAACATATTCTAAAAGTTTTTAGCGAGGCAGAGAGAATGGAGAGAAAGACAAGGCCTGCTACAGCCATGTTTGCCAGGCCCAGACTGGCCAGAGTCCCTTCAGGAAGGTCACCTGTGCTTAGAGATGATTAAGGGAGGTAGATTAAGAAAATTCAAAGTTGACAGTAACTTTAAGTAACTTGATTTTCATAGTCAATACCCATAGATTAATGCATCACTTAACCCTTAGCAGAGAAACTTTCACTTGCAACATACGGTGGCGATTAACACAGAGACCCATAACTGCTCAAGGAACAGAGAATGCTTAGCCCTGATTGGAACATCTACTGCACCCTCTACTCCCAAGGCTCAGGGACCATTGTGGAATGGGGGTGGGGGAGCAGAAAACTCTAAGAGCCAGAGGTAGAAGGTGAACACAAGGAAACAGTGTCTGCTGGACACAACAGGACAACTCCACATACTAAATCACAGCAGTAGACAGAATGCACAGGCTCCCCAAGAGCTCAAGCCTAGTCAAACATCCTCCTGGAGAGGGGAGGTCGACAGGAAGTCCCTCCCCTAGCAAGGAGCTCTTGCTAGCTTCTGAGAGGAAGTGCCCACTTTCCTTAAGAGTGTTTCTTATTGGTAGGAGGATTGGTGCTCCAGAGGAAGGCCACACACCCATGAGTATATAGGCAGCACAAATGGACTTGATGTACAAGGAAAAAAGATACAAAGTTGGGCGGTAGGGAAAGGGGAGAGTCTTCGCCAGAGAAGACTGCTTAGACATGAGGTTAAGTCAATTGAAAGTCTCTATTAGCTGGCCGGCAACTACACTGGGTGTTCAGGATCCCAGTAGCACTGAGCCTTTCTCAGGGTGAACTTAAATACAAAAGCCATGTTCTGGGTTGACATGTTTCAGTTATCAAGGACAGTTAGCCAGAAGCAGAGCTGCAGAAGTCAAAGCATAAGAGTCATAACATACCAAGAGACTTTCTCAGAACTATGGACATTGATGGATTAGGCCTTTGTTTTTGTTTTGGCAAATAGTACTGTCTATGTGCTGATTTTATGGCGTGAATGATATTTCCATCATGGAGTCAGTTATGCTAAGGTCTGGGAGCCTACTAAGGTCTAGAACCCTGCTACAAGCCCAGTTCCATCAGACACTTATTTAACAATTTGGTACAATATTACAGACAAGTTTCAGATACAAATGTAGTGATTAAAAACACAGAGTCGCTGGGTGGTGATTGAAATGGATTAAATAAAAAAAGCTGCAGGATCCCTGGCAGCTGCAGCTGCAGAAATGCTAAAGGTCCCTGAGTGGTGGCAAGCCCCGGGTCCTGAGAGCAACCAGTCCCAGGCAGGGATGGTGCAGTTTTCCAAGTGGTTGTAGCAGACCACGAGGAGATACAGACAGATGGGCACGTCATGAGACCACACCACAGGTCTCCGAAGGCTGCTGGTCTTGGGCAGGGAGACATGCAGCAGTGGGCGAGAGACAGAGACATGGATAGGCATGCCATGCAGAGTGAGGTTGGACATTTATTTAGTTCATTATGGAGGGGGAAGGAAGGGGAGAAGAGCAGAGAGAGAGAGACAGAGAGACAGAGAGAGACAGACAGAGAGAGACAGAGAGAGAGAGACAGAGAGAGAGAGAGAGAGAGAGAGAGAGAGAGAGAGAGAGAAGGGAAAGACAAAAGCTGCCTCTTTGAGAGGGAGATAGAAAAGGAAGGAACTTAGGCTGCAAGCAAGAAGGAAGATCTGCCTGCTTCAGCATATGGGGGAGGGAGTGGGCGTGGCTTGTTTCTTAAAGGGACAGAACAGATCATTACAGTGGTGGCACACACTTTATTTAATCCCAAAACTTTGGAGACAGAGGCAGGTAGATCTCTGTGAGTCTGAGGCCAGCCTGGCCTACAGAGAAAGTTCCAGGACAACCATAGTTACACAGAGAAACCCTGTCTCAAAGATAGATAGATAGATAGATAGATAGACAGACAGACAGACAGATAGAAGCACTGGGCTTGAATCCTGCTCACCGAGTCTACTTCCAAGGCCTTGGGCAAGTATGACAGGCTTTGAATCCCCCAGTTTCATAATTTATAATCTGAAAATAACAATAGCGCCTGACTGTCTGTATTGAGAATTAAAAGGGATAACTCAGCCAAAGGTGAAAATGTACAACTATATTTCAGACAATAGGGGGTGTGGATATAGGAGGATCAAGCATTCAAGGCTAACTTTGGCTCCAAAGCAGGGCCAGTCTGAGCCATGTGAATGAGATTTTATCTCAGTAAATAAATAAATAAACAGATAAACAGAACAATATGTGTAAATGCTTGGGACAATGTGTGGCAACCAAAGAGAGCTCTTGATAGATGTTAGCAATCTATATATAGGTAATGTATGCATATTTATAAAATATATAGGAGAGCTAGTTCATTTATAAGTGATTATGAATTCCTAGGAAAAGCTGAAAGATGCCTATGTTGCGTCTTCGGAGAACATGCATAGAGGCAGAGTGACAGGAGACACTAAACAGAATGTCAAGTCAGAGAATGGAGCCTGAGGTCCATGAGTTGAAAGGTGAAGCAATTCCAAGGGACAAGAAGTCCAGAACAGTAGTTCTCCTGAGTTTCTAGAACAGAGAGCTTGAAAAATCTCCTATTCAGAATTTCAGTCAGGTCTCAGCTTGGTTATCCCACACAGGACTGACTTGTGTTTCTGACTGGCAATGACTTAACATCGTTTGAGGATTTCATTTTCTCTGTTTGCTTAGGGACTCCAGAACTGCGGATGTCAAAAACTCTTATGCTTTCGGTACGTGTGTGTGTGTGTGTGTGTGTGTGTGTGTGTGTGTGTGTGTGTTGCATATACTGTCTAACTGTTCTCCGGGGTACTGGGGTATACCCTTGAAAACACCCCTGCTGATTCAATACAGATATAGGAAACCTCTTGTCAAGTCCAGAGCATTGTCATTGTGACTGAGTCGCCTAGCCCTTCACCTAGCTGTGAGTTATTTGATTCTACATGCAGAGCATCGTTCGTTTACCTCACTAAGAGCTCAGAAGCTACCCAATGCTTGTTGGTATGAATTATACATGCTTATGGGGAAATGGTATTTATTACTAATTCAATGCACAGTTTTTCTTTCTCCTTACTCTATGGATATAAATGAATATAATAAGCATTGAAGTTGTTTAAAGTGTTTATAATGTACTTTTTCATTTAGCAATACAACACTAACGTCCTTCCAAGCTAATGTAAATACATCCACAATATCGGTTTTAAAGGTTAGAGATTTCTTCCTTATTAGTAAAACTTGGGTTTAAGTTTTGCTATGGCCCTTCAGTGAACATCCTTGCAGACAAATCTTTACTCGTGTTTATAATTTTTTTCTTTGTGAATAACTAGGAATGGACTGTATGAGGCAGAATGTGTGTGTTACTTTCTTTAGTTTCTCCATCATCCAATTCAGCCCAAAATAGATTGTATGTTATTATGGAAAAGTCACTTCTCCAAAAATGAGAGCTCTGTACTGATTCGACTTCCTCATTCTGAAACGGTCCATGTTTTTCACTGCACACAGCGAGAAATCAGTCGACTCACGCTGATGCGGCATTCGTGTCCTTTGCAGCCTGACCGCAACCACCTCCTGGAAGCCTTCCATCTTCAGCTCAGTTTACATTCTGCCGCCCTGGATGCCATGCCGCAGCATCTCCTTCGCTGGTGGGATTTACCTTTTTGGCTGTCGTTCAGGTCCTGGTGAACAGTCCCGTGGCTTATTTGTTGAGTGCTTAATAAAAGGACTGTTGATAGACTTAGAAACAGAATCCAGGGAGCACAGTCAATGGAGCATAGTATATTGTTTCTGACCAAGCAGCACTGAGAGCCCCGACCAGCCATTCACTTGAAGGAGCAAGTCCAGAAAGCCATGGCTGGGACTCAGCAAGGGATTCTCTGTGGAGAAAACCACCCCACAAGTCTGTGACCTTCACAGTCAGGCTGACAGGCCACCCAAGGGAGTCAGCTTCCTAACCCATTCTTCATAGTCTCCCCAACATAGATGCAAGTCGTTGGCATGAGAGTCAATGGGCAGAACAATGGGGGTGAGGTGGACCTGATGAGACAAATAGAGAAGTTCCAACTTACTCCACAATGCTGGGTCTCAAAGTAGTTTGTGCTCTTCTTAGGCCATCTCACATGACTAGAATTACACTTCATTTGTGCAATATTTCACTTCCTCAAATATACTAACACCCACATAAAGAGAGTTCTGACATTTTTCTTTTTTTTTGAAAGTAATTTTATTAAATTATAAAAGTTTCCATTTACGCCCCTCTTCCCAACACCCTCCCACTCCCACCACTCCCTCTCCTCCTCCCTCTCCATCCCTAAGAGCAGTCAGGGTTTCCTGCCCTGTGGAAAGTTCAAGTTCCTCCCCCCTCCCTCCAGGTCCAGGAAGGTGAGTATCCAAACAGACTGGATCCCAAAAATCCAGTATATGCAGAGGAAACTAGTCCCAGTGTCATTGTCAATGGCTTCTCAGAAAGACTCCGGGCCAGCCACATTCAGAGAATCCGGCCACCTTCAGAGAATCTGGTTGGATCACGTGCTCCTTCAGTCGCAGTCCAACTGCCCTTGGTAAACTCTCATTAGATCCGACCCCTTGTATCAGTGGGTGATCGCATCCCTCGCAGTCCTTCGTCATTTTCTTCGTCCTTCTGCTCCTCATTTGGACCTTGGGGGGCTCAGTCCAGTGCTCCAATGTGGGTCTCCGTCTGTATCGCCATCCATCGCCAGATGAAGGATCTCCTGGCGGATAGGTAAATAGTCTTCATCAGGTTCGTCTTCTTATTTAGCTTCTCTAGGATCACGAATAATAGGCTCAAAGACCTTTAATTATGGTTAGAATCCACTTATGAGTGAATACATACCGTGTTCCTCTTTTTGGGTCTGGCTTACCTCACTCAGTAAAGCGTTTTCTATGTCCATCCATTTGCATGCAAAATTCAAGATGTCATTATTTTTTACCGATGAGTAAAATTCTAATGTGTATATGTTCCACACCTTTTTTAACCATTCTTCTATTGAGGGGCACCTAGGCTGTTTCCAGGTTCTGGCTATTACAAATAGTGCTGCTATGAACATAGTTGAACAAATGCTTTTGTAGTATGCTAGGGAATTTCTAGGGTATATTCCCAAGAGTGGAATTGCTGGGTCCTGAGGGAGGTTGACTCCCAGTTTCCTGAGAAACCGCCACACTGATTTCCACAGTGGCTGCACAAGTTTCATTCCCACCAACAATGGATGAGTGTTCCCCTCACCCCACATCCTCTCCAGCATAGGCTATCATTGGTGTTTTTGACTTTAGCTATTCTGACAGGTGTAAGATGGTATCTCAAAGTGGTTTTGATTTGCATTTCCCTGATCGCTAAGGAGGTTGAGCATGACCTTAAGTGTCTTCTGGCCATTTGAAGTTCATCTGTTGTGAATTCTCTATTCAGTTCAGTACCCCATTTTTTAATTGGGTTAATTAGAGTTTTAGTGCCTAGTTTCTTGAGTTCTTTGTATATTTTGGAGATCAGACCTTTGTCTGATGAGGGGTTGGTGAAGATCTTCTCTCAGTCAGAAGGCAGCCTTTTTGTCTTACTGACAGTGTCCTTTGCTTTACAGAAGCGTCTCAGTTTCAGTAGATCCCATTTATTCATTGTTTCTCTTATTGACTGTGCTGCTGGGGTCCTACTTAGGAAGAGGCCTCCTGTGCCTATATCTTGTAGACTACTTCCCACTTTCTCTTCTATCAAAGTTCAAAGTGGACGGCTTAATGTTGATGTCTTTAATCCATTTGGACCTGAGTTTTGTGCATGGTGATAGGTATGGATCTACTTTCATCCTTCTACAAGTTGACATCCAGTTATGCCAGCACCATTTGTTAAAGATGCTTTCCTTCTTCCATTGTATACCTTTAGCTCCCTTGTCAAAAATTAGGTGCTCATAGGTTTGTGGGTTAATATCCGGGTCTTCTATTCGATTCCAAAGGTCGATTTCTCTGTTCTTATGCCAATACCAAGCTGTTTTCAATACTGTAGCTCTGTAATAGAGTTTGAAGTCAGGGATGGTAATGCCTCCTGAAGTTCCTTTATTGTATAAGATTGTTTTGGCTATCCTGGGTTTTTTGTTTTGCCATATAAACTTGATTATTGTTTTCTCAAGGTCTGTGAAGAAGTTTGATGGGATTTTGATGGGGATTGCATTGAATCTATAGATTGCTTTTGGTAGAATTGCCATTTTTACTATGTTCATCCTCCCAATCCAAGAACAAGGGAGATCTTTCCATTTTCTGGTATCCTCCTCAATTTCTTTCTTCAAGGACTTAAAGTTCTTGTCAAATAGGTCTTTCACTTCCTTGGTTAGAGTAACCCCAAGATATTTTATGCTATTTGTGGCTATCGTGAAAGGTGATGTTTCTCTGATTTCCCTCTCTGCTTCTTTATCCTTTGTGTATAGGAGGGCCACTGATTTTTTTGGAGTTGATCTTGTATCCTGCCACGTTACTAAAGGTGTTTATCAGCTGTAGGAGTTCTTTGGTAGAGTTTTTGGGGTCACTTATGTACACTATCATATCGTCAGCAAATAACGAAAGTTTAACTTCATCCTTTCCAATTCGAATCCCCTTGATCTCCTTGTGTTGTCTTATTGCTATTGCTAGAACTTCAAGCACTATATTGAAGAGGTATGGAGAGAGTGGACAGCCTAGTCGTGTTCCTGATTTTAGTGGAAAGGCTTTGAGTTTCTCTCCATTCAATTTGATGTTAGCTGTCGGCTTGCTGTATATTGCTTTTATTATATTTAGGTATGATCCTTGTATCCCCAGTCTCTCCATCACCTTTATCATAAATGGGTGTTGAATTTTGTCAAATGCTTTCTCAGCATCCAATGAAATGATCATATGGTTTTTTTTCTTTCAGTTTATTTATATGATGGATTACATTGATAGATTTGCGTATGTTGAACCAGCCCTGCATCTCTGGGATGAAGCCCACTTGATCATAATGGATAATTTTTCTAATGTGTTCCTGGATTCGGTTTGCCAGGATTTTATTGAGAATTTTCGCGTCGATGTTCATGAGTGAGATTGGCCTGTAATTCTCTTTCTTGGTTGTGTCTTTATGTGGTTTTGGTATTAAGGTAACTGTAGCTTCATAAAAGGAGTTTGGCAATGACTCTTCTGTTTCTATATTATTGAATACATTAAGGAGTATAGGTATTAGCTCTTCCTGGAAGTTCTGGTAGAATTCTGCATTGAAACCATCTGGTCCTGGGCTTTTTTTGGCAGGGAGATTTCTGATAACAGCTTCTAATTCTTCACGACTAACAGGTCTATTTAGATTATTCACCTGGTCTTGGTTCAACTTTGGTATATGGTACTTATCTAAAAAAAAGTCCATTTCTTTTACATTTTCCAACTTTGTGGCATATAAACTTTCGTAGTAAGATCTAATGATTCTCTGTATTTCCTCTGTGTCTGTGGTTATGTCCCCCTTTTCATTTCTGATCCTATTAATTTGCATGTGCTCTCTCTGCCGTTTGATTAGTTTGGATAGGGGTTTGTCAATCTTGTTGATTTTCTCCAAGAACCAGCTTTTTGATTCATTGATTCTTTGGATTGTTTTCTCTATTTCTATTTTGTTGATTTCAGCCCTCAGTTTGATTATTTCCAGTCTTCTACTCCTCCTGGGTGAGTCAGCTTCTTTTTTTTCTAGAGCTTTCAAGTGTGTTGTTAGGTATCCAATGTGTGCTTTCTCCGTTTTCTTTATTTGGGCACCTATTGCTATGAACTTTCCTCTTAGCACTGCTTTCATAGTGTCCCATAGGTTTGAGTATGTTGTGTCTTTGTTTTCATTAAATTCAAGGAAGACTTTAATTTCTTTCTTAATTTCGTCCTTGACCCAGGGGTGATTTAGTAGTTGACTGTTCAACTTCCATGAGTTTGTTGACTTCCTGGGGGTAGCATTGTTGTTGAATTCTAATTTTAATCCATGGTGATCTGACAAGACACAGGTGGTTACTAATATTTTTTTGTATCTGTGGGAGTTTGCTTTGTTACCGAGTATGTGGTCAATCTTCGAGAAGGTTCCATGAACTGCAGAGAAGAAGGTATATTCTTTCCTATTTGGGTGGAGTGTTTATAGATGTCTGTTAAGTCCATTTGCTTCAATACCTCCAATAAATCTCTTAATTCTCTGTTTGGTTTCTGTCTGATTGACCTGTCCATTGGTGAGAGAGGAGTGTTGAAGTCTCCTACTATTAGCGTGTGTGGTTTGATGACTGCCTTGAGTTCTAGAAGAGTTTCTTTTACATATGTGGGTGCCTTTACATTAGGGGCATAGATATTCAGGATTGAGACTTCTTCCTGATGAGTTGTTCCTGTTATGAGTATGAAATGTCCATCTCCATCTCTTCTGATTGATTTTAGTTTGAAGTCGATTTTGTTAGATATTAGAATGGCCACACCCGCTTGTTTCTTAGGTCCATTTGCTTGGAAAACCTTTTCCCAACCCTTTACTCTGAGTAGGTGTCTGTCTTTGTGGTTGAGGTGTGTTTCTTGTAAACAGCAGAATGTTGGATCCTGTTTTCTTATCCAATCTCTAAGTCTGTGCCTCTTTATAGGTGAATTGAGTCCATTGATATTAAGAGATATTAATGACCATTGGTTGTTGACTCCAGTCATTTTTTTGGGGGGTAATAGAGTGTATGTGTTTTCCTTCTTTGAATTGTGCTAGTGAAGGGTCGCTAGATATCTGAATTATTGTAGTCAGTGTTGGCAATGTTGGATTCCTTGGGATGTAATTTTCCTTCTAATATTCTCTGTAAGGCTGGATTAGTAGTTACGTATTGTTTAAATTTGTTTTTGTCCTGGAATATTTTGTTTTCTCCGTTGATAGTGAACGAAAGCTTGGCTGGGTAAAGTAGTCTGGTCTTGCATCCATGGTCCCTTAATTTCTGCAGTACCTCTATCCAGGACCTTCTGGCTTTCATGGTTTCTATAGAGAAGTCTGGTGTAAGTCTGATAGGTTTACCATTATAGGTTACTTGACCTTTTTCCTTTGCAGCTCTTAATATCCTTTCTTTAATCTGACTGCTTTGTGTTTTGATTATTATATGGCGAGGGGATTTTTTTTCTGATCCAGTCTATTCAGTGTTCTGTATGCTTCTTGCACCTTCATAGGAATATCCCTCTTTAGGATGGGAAAGTTTTCTTCTATAATTTT